GAACTTCTAGCTATATATGAAGCTTTCCGGACCTGGCGACATTATCTAGAAGGCTCGGCCGAGCCTGTAGATGTTGTCACGGACCACAAGAACCTTGAGTACTTCGCCACTACCAAACTCCTCTCTCGACGTCAGGCCCGCTGGTCGGAATTCCTCCATCAGTTCAATCTTGTCATCCGCTTCCGTCCCGGAAAACTCGGAGTTAAACCGGATTCCCTTACTAGACGCTGGGACGTCTATCCCAAAGAGGGGGATAAGGACTACGCTCGAGTTAACCCTCATAACTTCCGTCCGGTATTCACGTCCGAACAGTTAGCTTCGTCCCTACGAGCCTCAACCTTAGCAACTCCGGTTCTTAGAGCAGCTGTTCTAATGGATATTGATGACCTTCGGAAAGACATCCTGACCGCACTTCCTAATGACCCTATTGCAACCAACCATCTTCCGGTACCTTCGGATCCGAGATGGACAGTGGACGATAGGGGTTTCCTCCGTTGCGACAACCGTATATATGTCCCAGAATCCGATAACCTTCGACTTCGCGTCCTCCGTAATACTCATGATCACCCCTTATCCGGACATTTTGGTCAAAACCGAACCCTAGACCTCATCCGACGCGAGTATACATGGCCGGGTATACGCACCTATGTTAAGGACTACGTCCGGTCCTGCACTACCTGCGCCCGAGCCAAGGTTCCGAGACATAAACCCTACGGATTGCTCAAGCAACTACCCATACCGGAAAAGCCTTGGAATTCCATATCCATGGATTTCATAGAGCAACTTCCGGACTCATCAGGCTTTACAGCCATCCTCGTTATCATAGATCGTTTATCCAAACAAGCAATATTTGTTCCGACTCACGATACCATTACCTCTCCGGATCTCGCTCGTCTATTCCTACTTCATGTGTTTTCCAAGCACGGAGTTCCGTCCCATGTCACCTCGGATCGCGGTACAGAGTTTGTATCCCACTTCTTCCGATCCTTAGGAAAAGCATTGGATATGGTCCTCCACTTCACATCCGGATATCATCCGGAAGGGGATGGACAAACCGAGCGTGCCAACCAAACCCTGGAACAATACCTTCGGATATATTGCAATTATCAACAGGACAACTGGTCGGAACTACTTCCCTTAGCAGAATTTGCCTACAATAACGCTCCAAGTGCTACTACCGGAGTATCACCTTTCTTTGCTAATAAGGGTTATCATCCGAACATATCCGTCCATCCGGAACGCGATCTATCCTCCATCCGCGCTCGCGACTATGCTATAGACCTCGACGACCTTCACCAATTCCTTAGAGAAGAAATGGCTCACGCCCAAGAAAGATATCAAGGACCTGCGGACGCCTAAACGGAAACCTGCTCCGGATATCAATATCGGAGACCAAGTCTTTGTCAAGGCTAAGTACTTCCGGTCCACTCGTCCGTCTAAGAAACTCTCGGAAAAGAATCTAGGCCCGTTTGAAGTCATATCCCGTCCGGGTACCCATTCCTTTACCATCCGACTTCCCGAATCCATGAAATCCGTCCACCCCGTCTTCCACGTCTCACAGCTAGAACCATCCGTTCCGAACACAATTCCCAATCGGATCCAGCCTCCTCCACCTCCGGTCGAAGTCGACGGAGAACCAGAATATGAGATATCCGAAATCCTAGACTCTAAGCTGGACCGTCGTAGAAGACAATGCCAACTCTTATACCTCGTCCGATGGTCCGGATACGAAGGAACAGACGAAGAGACTTCATGGCTACTAGCCACGGAACTCGGAAACGCGTCCGATCTAGTCTCGGATTTCCACACTGCATATCCAGACAAACCCGGTCCTATTGCTATACAATGAATATACAAAGCGGATATACAAGTACATTAGTAGCAGAGAAGGCAGATCCGAAAATCCTCAGCCATCCATCTCCATGTCCCCACCCGATCTGATCCGGATCCGGATCCGGATTCTTCAACGTCCTTGTCAGTGGCCTCAGAACGAGCCGCCTCTGTAATCCGGATTCCATTCCGGATCCCCTCAAGAAGGATGGTCTGGAACTCCCTCTGCTGCTCCAAAAACGCCTCCAAGTTAGTATTCATCCGCTCTATAGCAGTCCTACTCCCTTCCGCCGCTCCGATGCTCTGCTGGAGCAATCCGTTGGTCCGAGCCAGTTCCGCTACAATGCTATTAGCGGCCGCGACCCAGGCCTGATCATCATACTCCACTTCCACCTCATCCGCTACTACCGTCTTCATATCCGGATCCGGAGTTGGACTCTGCTGGCGCTTCTTACCCTTGCCTCTCGGAGATGGGTTCTCAGCAGCGCGCTGCCTCTTCTTAGACTTGGAATCCGTAACGGTTCCAGGTCGTCCGGGACAAGGAGCCTTGTCCTTCCGGCACGCGTTACAAGCCTTGATCTATCCGAATGTTAAGAGTCACGGATCCGAAGATTCAAGGATGACTTACCAAGGAATTGCTATCCGCATCGGACCACAGACAGGCCCGACCCTTCTTAGCGCAGCGGGTACAAGCCCCATCCTTATCCGCTGAGATGGCGCGAGACTACGGATCCGATAAGGGACGGATCCGATAGAACAAGTCATAACTCACCATTTCCGCTACTATAGCCCTGCGCCTAGCCTCCTCCGCTTCCCTTCGGGCCTCAGCCCGTTCAATCTTCTTAATCCCTGCCAAGCGCTTCCGTTCCGCCTCTTCCGCTTGTTGCTTCAGCTTTTCAGCCTCTTCCTCCTTCTGAACCTCGGCCTCAGCAGCAGCCAGCGCGGCCTGGATATCCGCCAGAGTCTGCTTAGCGGTCTTCTTAGAGCCGGATCCGTTATCAGTCATGGTTGAGATAAGCTAGTGGTAGTGAAAAAGTAGGGAAAGGAAGGAACACCCTGCGACGCTTTGGCATCCGTATATCTGTCAGAATCCGAACTCAGCAACTTCTCCCATCAGCTTCTCCATTGTCTCGCACTCATACCATCCGTTCCGGATCGCTGATTCTTGTGCCTCTAGGGATCGGCCCTAAGGGGGGGATACTGTCATATACCATATATCCGGTTACAGGGATCTCAGATCCAGATCCGATGAACATATCCATCGTCCGGTCCACAGATCCGCTTTGATTCTTATTTCATTTCCTGTTCATATAACTCTAACTATCGTTCATCTCCTTTCGGTATTCCTGTACACCGGTATACCGGTTATCCTTTACTTCCGCTTTGCTTACTGATCCGCTATGCTTACTGATCCGCTATGCTTACTGATCCGCTACACTTACGAATCCGCTTTTACTTACTTTGCTTATACTTTCATACATAGCCTCGCACCTTTGCTTATTGATCATTCCGTTAGCTATCCGTAGTATATAAACCTTTGTATATGCGCTGTAGTAGATCAGTTCGAATATCATCTTAGATTGCACTCATTCCGTCTGGACTCTGAGTCCCTCCGTTATCCATCCGGACTTGAGTACGCTACTCTTGTCTAACTCCGAGACTTAGGATAGATTCCTATAGTCTACATATCCGCCTCTGTCTTCGGACAGTCCTCACCCGTTAGTTTCTAGTCCGGATCCGATCCGGATTGGCCGTTACTCTATATACGCGATACTTTAGCTCTCTGAAATAAGGGGCAAGACTCGGGAAAGGGGCACAGCGCACGAGCTGAGGCCGAAGCCCTTCGGATCCGATACTACTTGAGTACGGTCTTAACAGCCCAATGCAGAGCCCAGAAGGCTGAGGCCAAGGCTCGAGGTGCCTGATGCAGAGCACAGAAGGCTAAAGCATGAGGTGCCTGACGCAGAGCCAATGTTCCTACTCCCTCCATTTCGTCAAACACCAGGTCCCATCTCCGTTGCACAGTCATAACTTGCGAAAAACTGATTTTGGAGCGTTGGGAGGCAGAAATAAAGGCCTGCGAGCACGCAAAGAAATTGCAACTGTTAGAAATTGCTCCAGGCCCAGCTCTTACCCTAATACAAGCAAGCTTGTGAAGACTTGTTGTTGAGCGCTGGGATGCAGAACTGAAGCGTTGTGAGGAGGCAAAGCGGGCGCAAATGTTAGAGTTACTTCTTGCTGCCCATGGTATCTCCAGACTAGTGTAGTGCCATTATATTGCCCTGAACCTGAAAAATTTCAGTTGAAACAATGGGCCAGTCTTCTCTCCATAATAGAGTGCGTTCTCAGACTGCGCCTAGGACACTTAGGACATAGTCTCCATAACAGAGTGTGTTCTTGGACTGTGAAAGGGTCAATAACGTACCTGGTAGCTATCAGCGCTGTGGGCAAAGGGTTAGTTACAGCAATGGCACACCTCTAGATTAGTAGGTAAGTTCAGGGCAGGACATAGTCTCCATAACAGAGTGCGTTCTTGGACTTCTCCTCCATAACAGAGTGCGTTCTCGGACTGCGCCTCCCTAATAGAGTGCGTTTTCGGACTTGGCGTACCTGGTAGCCATTGGTAGCCATCAGCGCTGTGGGCAAAGGGTTAGTTACAAATTGCCCAGGGTAGGGCAAAGGGTACCGCTCAAGATGCCCAGAGTCTAGACCTGTCAAATTACGATACACATCAAAAAGAGCCAGAAAATAAACTGGAATCACTTACCAACCATGCCTCACAGCTGCGTATTCTGTGGCAAGCCTTTCCCGTCAAAGGGAAGCGTCCAGAAGCATATAGCTATCCGCCCCGACTGTAGAAGAAAATGGGAGTTAATAGTTGAAGATACAGATGGTGAAGGTGGTGCACCTGCTGATTTTGCTTACAACAATTCTTTTTCCCCACTTCACTGCTCATGCTCCAACTCTTTCAATCTTGATGAAGTCAACCCAGCAGCATCAAAAGTCGACGGGTGACAGTTGAAGATGTGGCCGATGAAGAAGATGGCAGGCAGTATTTCAAGCCATGTCCTGATGCTGGCTGGACGTTGCAGGAGGGGCAAACTAGTTTTGAAAGGTATCAGCGATATAAGGAGGGTGAAGGTGAAGACGAGTGGGCACTCTTTTGTGACATGTATGAGTCGTGTTCTGTTTATCAGGTCCGCAAGAAAATTAACTTTGGTCCTGGCAGGGAAGATTGGGGACTTGCAGAATGGCTTGTTAAAAGCCTTGGGCAGACTCGAATGGATGAATTTCTGAAGTTACCGATAGTAAGCTTGGCGTTGATGACTGAAAAATATGCACTGACCATAGTAATAGACGCAAAACCATATGAAACCTTCATTCCACAACAATCGGTCATTCCTACAGAAGGTCAATAAGCTGCCGCACGGACCTGCCTGGAGTTGCAAGAAGGTTAGCGTCAAGGGAAATCGAATGGACAAGAATGGCCAGTTGCTGCATGAGGATGTTGAGCTTTGGATGCATGACCCTGTGGAGTGCATCAAGGATCTTATCGGTAATCCTTTATTCAAGCAACATATGGTATACGCACCATCACGAGTGTACAA